AGACTTTCTTGTTCTTAAGCTTAGATTGTATCTCATTTCTAGCCCTATCATTTGCCTCATAAAAGGACCCCACTGTAAGCATTTCCTCATTATTAGCTAGGTATTAAACTCTTATTAGTGGCTCAGTTACATCTACCACACACTCACAATGCTTCCAACAGAAAGAATCAAGAACCATCTCTGAGGCCTCATTCTCGGCCCTTGTTTATTATAGGTGATTTCACCCATTCCTCGTGAGTAAACACTTTTGTAAGGGAATCTTTGATGTCACTTGGCTTTTTAATGTAACGAAGCTGCTGCGAAGCGTGTAATAACTGGGCAAACCAACTCCTTCCAAAACTGCCCCACATCAGGCTCAAAACTAATGGGTGATTATAGATATATTTTATGACTTTTTTCGCCAAATTTAGGACCTTTGGAATATCTTGGAAATGAAAATCATTCAGTTATTTATCTGGATCTCCTATATCAAATCCACACAATGGACAACACATACCATCCAATAAATAGTTTTGTACTTCTTAGCCAATCTTAAGTCCAACTACTTTGTAATTTGCTATACTATCAGTTATGAATTCAATCTAATATTAAGGACCAACTATTTTAATAATATCATTAAACAAGCCAAAAAAAAAAATGATATTTTATACATCGGAAGTAACCATAGTATTCATAAATATTGTACCCTTGGATCAATAACCAAAAAATTAATCAAATTTTGGTTTGCTATATCAACCCACCATTTTCCAAAACAGAACTTCTTGATGTTTTCCATGACTCCCTATATTCATAATATAGATATTATCATTAAACAAGCCAAAAAGAAGCTCAACAATTTTTGATACATCAGGAATATCCATAGACTTGATAAATATTGTACCCTTGGATCAATTAACCAAAAAATTAATCAAATTTTGGTTTGATATATCTACCCATCCATTTGCCATAATAGAACATTTTGATGTTTTCCATGACTCCCTATATTGATAGAAAAATCCATTAACTTTGTTGACATTCTTTTCAAAAGCTTGCACCTTAAATAATGATAACTTGGTGTTTTATAACCAAGACTAACGAGAGCTATTGCATTAGCAATTAGTTGAAAATAGTGTGAATTTGCTACATTAAATGACATAGCATCATACATAAATTGAGTTACATCCATTTTTGTTTGTTCAACAATTGTTTTAGAAGCCAAAGCACTATTTATATTTGTTTGTGCCTCAGACGTGGTCCTAGGGGTAAAATAGCCCCTCATTCCTCTTGTCTTTCCAACACCATTGCATCTATCACCACTTCTCTTCTTTTCTCTCCCTCGAACTATATTATTTTGTATAAAAGTAGACATCATTTCAGGTCCTTTTAATTCCTCATAATTGAATTTTTCACCTTCCTCAATTGTTTGGAGCATGTAAGGATTTCCGATGACATCATTAACTCTTTACCTCTTTCGTTTTGGCAAATTAATTACATACAAGTCTTGCTCCGGGTAGCGTAACCAGCAAGCGCTTAACAACTACATTCGCCATTTGACAATTGTTGTAACTTCCTTGCAAGGTGCAACATTACCATGCGATATTGCTATAATCAAAATATTCCTGACCCTTTAATTAATCTACCATAAAAGTATATATGCATTGGTTTCAATCCCCAGGAACCGCTTTTGCATATTCCCATGTAGGTCTAAGGATTTAGATCGTGCTACTGCTACTGATGAGGTTAATCCAGATTTAGTGCTTGACATGACTAATATACAGTTAGAAGAAATATTTCAAAGCACATTTAACAAATAACCAATGCGAAATTAAATTACGAAATCAAGAAGAGATATGCAAACCAAATCTGTGCAAATATAATTGGTAGTTTTATCGTTCTATTTTACATAGTAATTTTTCACCATTTAATATATCACGTTGCATTTATTTTCTTAAAAATATTACCAACAAATATTTGTCACCTTTGACAACACATTTTTCTTTTTTCTTTCACATAAAATCCTAGTATTTAACAAGTTCAACATCCAACTAAAATATTTTAGAAACTAATAGTTTTATATAATGTGTATAAAAAATGTTAATAAACTCAATAGTGACAAACTCAACAAAGACACATACATGCTATATAAGTAGATTAACCACATCAGTTTAAAGTATTTTTAGTGATGAAAAAGTAATTTAGAGAGAAAACCAAAATTTGGGCACAATGTGGAAAAACCTAAAATTAAGGGATAGTGTAGGAAAATCTAAAATTAAAGAACAATGTGGGAAAACCCAAAGTTAGAGCACAATGTTGGGGGGAGAGAGAGGGGAGGAGGGAGAGAAAAAATTTTAGTTGCTAAAATAAAAAAAATCAATTTATAGAGAAACCAACCATTTGAATCCAATAAAACAACAAAAAAAAGAACATTTCCTTGTGGATGATCGAAAGAATTATAATATTTATAGACACTTCACTTCATACTAATTTTGGTAACATAAATTAGGTTTTTTTATCCAGTTAAATGGAATCAATTTTCGTCAAAATCATTCAAATTCAGAGAGATATTAAAGTCAATATTGTCTCGTATCCTTTCCTTCTCCAAACATTAGAAAATTCTAGTGTTGTTAAGTTCACTTCACTTCGGCCGAAGGTTGAAGCTTTCAATTTTTTACCTCTGTATCAAAGTAAAATGAATAAAAAACTAGTAGTTAGGCTTGATTCGGTCGCTTTGGCCAGATTCATGTTAATTTAACCGAAGAATGCAGACTCGGCCGAAGAGGATAGCGGAAACATGTGATTATATGATGTTCTAAAGGCATTAAAAAAAATCAGTACCATTAAAATAATATGATTTCAACTATTTTTATTTTTAAAAATTAAAACTTAAAAGTTGAAACTCTTGGATTTTCAATTTTAAAAATTAAAAGTTAAAACTTTACCACCTTTTGGATGGGATAAGGCCATTCGATCGCCTAAAGGAATCCGATCGCCTAAAGGAACCAAGAGGGGGTTTATTATCCAGCTAAATGTTTAAGCGATCGGATTGGCCTTATCCCATCTTAGGCATTAACCAAAGTAAGTAAATGCAAGACTCTTTGTACCCCAAAGGAAACGTAAAGGCCCTATAGAAGGCTAAAATATGATATCGATCCCCATAATGAGGGGAGAATCCCATCCTATGCATTAACCTCCTTTAAGGAGAAGAGAAACGAGGGAAGGGAAAAGCGGCTGAGAAGCAAAAAGAGATCATCGATAAAATGGAGAGGAACAAAAGAGGATATAAAAGACAGAGGGTGGGGGTGCATGAAGTGAAGCTGAGAGATGAAAAAGAATAAGAGAAGGAGGAGGTACGTGAGCAAGGTAGATCATAACAGAAGAGCTAAAGGAAGATCAATAGAAATAAAAAGAACAATAGAAAAAAATCTGAGATCTAAAGGTAGGAAGAGAGGGTAAAGGAGAAGAAAAGGAGAAAGGAGAAAATCAGTTAGCACAATAAGTAGAAACCAAAAATATTTAATAGAATAAGAAAAAGAGAGATAGCGGGGATAAAAGAGGAAAAAAAGAAAAAAAATGTAGACAAAGACAAGAAAGAAGCTATGTGAGAGAGAGAGAGAAAAGAATTGAGAAAAAAAAATGATAGAAGAACATAGAGAAAAGGGGTGAGAGGAGAAAAAAAAAAAAGGAGAGAAAAAGATAGAGAAGATCACAAACTGACCATAGATCTGTGACCTGAAAGCATAGATTTGAAGTAAAAAAACCTCAAATATGAGGCGAGACCACATCTGAGGATGGAGCCACATAGCAAAGGCCAAGAGAAGTGAACAAGAAATAGACTAGAGACGGGGGTACGGAGTATCATCAGAGAGAGGAAAAAGAAGAGGCAATGTTGTTGGTTGCTCCGTGGGTGGTGCCGAGCGGTTGAAACTTGGCAGAGGGAGCTTGGTGAAGGCTGAAGCTTGGCAATGGTTGGAGCTTAGCTGGAGTAGCATGGCTGGAGCTTGGTTGTGTTATGGCTGGAGCTTAGCCGTGCCAATGCTAGTGGCTCTCTCTCTCCATTGCGTTTCTCTTAGTGCCATTAACGTTTCATGGGCAGCAAAGATGCACCATACTTCATGGTTACCACACAACCTAGTCTAATCATTCAAATCACTTATTCGTGCCTTGGCCAGTAATGTCTATAGTAAAAACTGATAATTGGTTGAAATCAGTGACTGACTGGTGTTGGCCTATCAGACAATCCAATTTTTAGCAATTCAACTTGCTAAATAAAGTTGAGATTTTTTTTAGTATATTTTATATCTTTTAACTATTATTCTTATTCCTTATAAAATTTTAAAAATTTGGTCTAACCGGTTGAACATAAGTCAAACCAATTGTGATCGGCCTATGCCCCTCACTTAAGCCGTGACCGATATGATCCTGACAATTGTACTCCACCTCACACGAGTGTAAGATTGGGGTAGTCTTCCAAACATCTATTGTCCATGCTACTATTAGCTAAAAAATAGAGAACAACTATTCTCTCATGAAAAATATTAACACAATTGCACGTAACCTTCTTTGTTGAATAACCTGGTATCTTGTGCAAGTACTGTATGCCATGGGGTATTGAATTGTCCATACATTTTCTATTAATAAGGAAAAACGCTAAAATAAGGTGCCCAATCTTATACTATATAGACACTTCTTAATTTTGCTAAGAGATGTATTGGAAACCTTATATTGGCTTGAGAATCTACTTTAAATTTTACTTGTGATATTTAAAAATTTTCAAGTGCGGATCAAATAAATCTATAAGTATTTTAAAATCTTGAAAATAGTCGGTCCAAACAATTTGTTACAAGATACACCAATTTTTAATACTCCACAAACTTTTTTTTCCTTTATATCTACAAGGTAAAGATGAAGGTTTTCCAACTTTCGAATATTCTATTTTCCTTGATTTTATATTATGAGGTTGGGACTTTACATAAATTTTTCTAAAATAATAAAATGAAGATAGAATAGAAGGCAACATCCGCCTCACAGCAAAGCACGCAGATATAAGCAGGCCCCAACAAGAGGCATTCAGCAAAAATGAAGTCCATTCTTTCTCTATCTTTTCCTCCTCCCATGTTTTTACCATCCAATAGGAAGCTCAACTGCCATTCTTCCTTTTCTCTCTTAAGCTCTTCTCTCTCTGGTTCCTGCAATTCGACACTGCGATTCCCCTTCCTCAAATATGAAGACGTGAATGCAAAATCGACCTCTTTTCCCGCCTCAGTGGCCACCGAAGCTCCATCAGAGCTTTCATCGACAAAAACCCATGAAGTCGAAAATTCTTCAGAGACCAAAGCCCTGCAAGATGTGGTTCTTCCCACCAATGAATCTTCAGAGCAATTGCTGCGCATTCGCCACACGGTATGTTTTATTGGCTAACGATTTTGATTCGAAATTAACTTGTTCATGTGTTACATTGATAAAATTATGATTTTGACACATATTTGTTATGCCCCACGTGGTTGAACGATGATATCTGCTTGTGCTTTTTTCTGTTTGATTGTTTTTCACACTTATTTGGCATCTTCAAGGTTTTAGGTACCTATTAAGCAAACCCCATATGATTTTATCAATAAATTACAATGAATTATGATTGCATTTTCCTCATTTGATCAGTCCTTATATCCATGTGGCATGTAATTTAGTTTTCTACTGGTTTGGGAGCATATTCAGCGGACCCATGTAGTTTAATCAACAATTTATGTCATTGGCTTGGTCAATTCGATCTTTCCTTGCAGGTGTATGAGTTATGACATCTCGTTCGGAACATTTAAGCCTCTGGAGCATACCAAGCAGATCTTGTGATTTGTTTCATGTTAATTACTCATTGTTTGTTAAATTCTTTGTGACATTCACATTCCATGTAATTTCGTACATTAATTTCAGAACATGTTAAGCAAAGGACATTTTTTCCCTAACTGTATGTAAGTCTAATTTATAATCTTCTTGTTATAATTTATCCTAATTTCATTATTTTTTACTATACAATATTTGTTTTGTTGGTTAGTTTTATTTCCATATGTTTTTATAGTCAGTATGCAAAAGGTACATCAAAGTGCACAAAACAATGCAGGAAAAATTTCTACTTCCATATTAAAAGACACTTACTGATTTCACATGTTTTTCACCATTGATGAAAATCTGAAAATCTACATGAAGCATGAAGTACTTAAGAGTGTGCTATAACGTCATACTTGAAATGAACACAACTTCGATCAGAATATTAGGTTAAGAGAGGATCCCGATTTGGCAATAGATTCAGGGTTTTTAACTTCAAATTATATATATATAAGACCATTTATATTTTTCACAGTTACTCCTAGCCATTAGAAGTCAAATTGAATGGCTTGAGATGTGTCATAATGTTTAGAGAATTTTTTTTTAAACTTTGAGTCTAGTCAATGACACTCTTACAACCATCCGATTTGAAATCTGACAGGCAAGAGTAATTGTGACCTCCTTGTACAAAAAGTATATGGTGTCTTTTTATGCTCTTCCTTTATATATAAACATTATATACATAACAGCATTTCAATCTTGAGCGGAGTGATAGTTTCCCACAATCCTCTAGTAAATTCTTCCACTCCAAAGTACTGATGAAACCTCAAAATGGTTAGTGGGCTTAACCTAATGTAACCCTATTGACCATTCCTTTTCTTCCTAGAAACTATGAAAATAATGGAAAACTAGTGCCTACCCTTGATTTCTTCTTTTGCAACCCAAGACAATGGTCTTTATTTCAATCTATTCCTCTCTTCTTGTAGCTGCCATTTTCTTTGAAATGTCCTAAGAAACTGCCTCAAGAGAATCATTTTTGTCCTCCTCGCATAGGAAAGAAATGGCCATGTCAAAAATTTTAAGACCATTTATTTATATTCCTGATAATGTTCCTAAGCCTTTGGAATTATTCTAATAAAATGAGTTGCTCTGTTTTCCTCGAGCTAATTTAGCAATGCAAGAAGTAAAATCAATTTTCATCTTAGAAAGCTGGTCAACTTGACAAAATATGTTAACAATAGAAAGAAATTCTCTGTAATTTGCAGTCTGTCCACTTACAATATACACCATGAATTTAAAAAACATCCTGCATGCAACACTATTTTGCGACAGTTTTGTTACATATTGCCTTTAAAATTGCTCATTCACCTATATAATCTTTGGATTTTGAATGTATACATGTTCGTTGCGAACTTTTTACCCCAAGTCATAAATTTGCGTCAGTTGAAGTTTGAGCTTGTTGAAGTGTTGGAGACATTTCGTTGGATTACTTAATAATATTTATACTTAAGATTTATGTTGCTCAACATTACTTATCCGTCTGTGAAAGTTCCTATTCAAGTAGGGACACTCACTTTTGTTCTTTTCCATTTTTCGTCAATTTCTTGTTTCTTTTTATTCATTTGCTTGGATGTGCCTAGTTTAAGTGCGCATTTCTACGTACACACCCATCTTTTTATCTCGAGTATCTTTCTTTATGAATATGCATCTATTTTTATGTTTCTCATTGGATATGTCATTTGATTTTGACAATTCCAATGGATGTTTGCAGTGTGCCCATGTTATGGCAATGGCTGTTCAGAAACTTTTTCCAGATGCTAAGGTGACAATAGGCCCATGGATTGATGATGGTTTTTATTATGACTTTGATATGGAGCCTCTAACCGACAAAGATCTGAAGAGGATTAAAAAGGAAATGGTCAGCAAACTGTGTTCACCATGTATTCTATTTCATCATGTTACTCTAAAGAACGGCCCAAAAATAACTTGGGAAAGTACTAAAATGGTTCATGGCCCTCGGGATGATGCGACTGATATTTGGCATCCCTTGTAGGACCGCATCATAAGCCGAAATTTGCCTCTAATTAGAGAAGAGGTCTCCAAAGAGGAAGCTCTAGAAAGGATAAAGGCATTGAATGAGCCCTACAAAGTGGAGATCCTAGAAAGTATCAAGTCAGAACCTATCACAATATATCATATTGGTCAGTCTGGTTGCTCTCCTTAATGCCTTTTTTGCCTGTCATTGAATTTTTTTAATCAAATTAATAAAAAATATTTTAAAACCCGATCTTCTATTGAAAAATCATTCCTCTGGGTCATGATTCTCCAATTTAATGGACTTTGATGGAGAGAGAGTGGGAACCATCAGAAGAAGACATGACTCCTTTGGTATGTCTCACTCTCGCTCTTCATCTCCATTCATTATTTCATTGGGCGGTATTGTAAATGAAATTAGGTAATTATAGTTCTATTAATTCTTTAATCTTTTCATTTTATTCTGTATATGCAATTATTTGTCTATCTTTGCAATCTGCTGTTGAATGTTTTTGCATGTGAGGCTCTCTTTTATCTTATGGAGTCCCTTTCAGAGGCTATCCATTATAGTTCATTCTCTTGTAGCTACTTGCTGAACCTTGTGTTGGTCTGTGTTTTAATGGAAAGGAGACTCTTCTGCTTTCTCCTTCGGGTTTTGAATTGGAGAGACAATTTATTGTGCCCCACTGGTTACATTGTTAAACATGTGGTTAATATTTTCAGAAAGCACTAAATAAAAGTTATTCTCTTTTTGTATTTAGATATCATGGCTATGAGCCTTCCCCAAAGTAGAAAATCATTATTTGCAGCTGACATAACTGTACTTGCCGCTGCTTAGTGAAGTGCAGGAGATCCATAGAATTCCTTCATATCTTGGCTCTTTTTTCTTTGTATTAGGTCTTATATATGTGCCCATCCCAAGGTTTCGATGATGATGAGGTCTAATATATGTGACTATGTTGGATGATTTCATTACCATACCCTCCTTTAATGTACAGGAAATGAGTGGTGGGATCTCTGTGCTGGACCACATGTTGAGCGCACTGGAAATATTAGCAAGAATGCTGTTGAGCTTGAGTCTGTGGCTGGTGCTTATTGGAGGGGCAACGAAAATAAGGCAATGCTTCAAAGAATATATGGCACAGCCTGGGAGACTGAAGAACAGTTGAAAGCATACCTTCACTTCAAAGAGGAGGCAAAACGCCGTGACCACAGACGCCTAGGTCAAGATCTCGATTTATTTTCAATACAGGTATTACCAAGTCTTTAATTATAAAATATCTATATGTAAAGTTGGACATTTATTTGTTGATCGTAGTCAATTTAAGAAAAACTTATTCGTGGAGGGGAGATTGGAAGGTAGTTATTAATCTTGAATAAGAATGAAACTAGGTGATTTCTGAGAAATGTATTTGCTCAGTTTTAGAATTCTAGAAATGAAGAGCGTCAAAATGCCTGAACTTATCAGCCTTAATCTTGAAACTTTCTAGGAGGAAGCAGGGGGAGGATTGGTTTTCTGGCATCCTAAAGGTTCCATTGTTCGACACCTTATTGAGGATTCATGGAAGAAGTTGCATATGGAACATGGTTATCAGTTAGTATATACTCCTCATGTAGCAAAGGCAGACCTTTGGAAGATCAGTGGTCATCTAGATTTTTACAAGGAAAATATGTTTGACCAAATGAAAATTGAAGACGAGCATTATCTGCTTAGGCCCATGAATTGCCCATATCACATTCTTCTTTACAAACACAAGTTGCATTCATATAGGGACTTTCCCATCAAAGTTGCAGAGCTGGGAACTGTGTATAGATATGAATTGTCTGGAAGTTTACATGGCCTTTTCCGTGTACGAGGCTTTACTCAGGTATGTTTTCATTTTGAGTTTCTTGCACTTGTTGGGAAACTTTATCTATATTTCTGGTTTTATTTTATCATCATCATCATCATTATAGCCTTTTCCCAATTAATAGGGGTGGGTTACACAAATCCTGGTCCGTCATTTTGCTCTATTAAAGGCCATACCCTCAGTGAGGCCATAAGTCCCCATATCTTTTCGGACTACTTCCAACCACGACCTTTTGGGCCTACCCCTTACCTTTTTCAATCCTTCCACTTGAACTAACTCGCACCTTCTAATAGGTGTTGTACTTGGTCGGCGTTACATATGGCTAGCCCACCTTAGTCTACTCTCTCTCATCTTATCGCCTATTGGTGCCACATTTAAATTCTCCCTAATGGATTTATTTCGAATTTTATCCCTTCTTGTCTTGCCACTCATCCATCTCAACATTCTGGTTTTAATTTATAGTCTATTTTATTGCATCGAATATTCTTGAGAGGCAAGTCTCTCCATCGCCCTAGATCAGTAAAATTGCATTGTGGGTTCATGTTATGTCCAACCTGAAAAAATGAACTTGTGTTGTTTATTTGTGAGTTGCAATTGTTTTTTCTTTTACCGTTTTTTGTCTTTTTGGGCGATATGTATATCATATGGATATTATGGTTGCATGATATTTGGTTGAATATATTATATGCTTCAAATGCAATGACCCAAAGCATGCTGGCGGCTTAATTATTATTCTTCTGTTGCCTTTGATTCTTCCTGTGTTGTCCCAAACGTAGTGGTCCCATATGAATTAGCATTCATTTGGTGCGCATGGCCCTCATGGGTTTTGATAATTTGGTTAGATCATCCAAGTTTCCTGAGTTGATAAGAAGATGAAGAGTCCTTAAAGGAAAATGAAATACTAAATTTATAGGAGGCATGCCCCAATTTTATAGTGTGCATTTGTTGGGATTTTTTGGCTTTTAAGGCCGTAGCATTTTTGTTACTACCCCATGGTAGTATTCATCGGTTTAGTTGAAATCAAGACAGACACCATAAGTCGAGTGTCTGTTCGAAGGTGTTAGATGAAATTTTTATTCCTCAAATATCACCTTAAAATTTAAATCTTGTCCTCTCAAAAGGAGAGTAGGACCTATGAGGCGTTTGTATAATATACTTGTACTGGGACTATTCTGGTATTTAGAATTTTGTACCATGAAAAGTTTAAAAAAAATGACAAAACATGGTTTAAAGACTCTTTAGGGCACAAGTGGGCCAGATATGCGGTGGCACACATGTGTGCACATAATTTACGTGCATCATGTTAGCCCCCCTGGCCATGGGTCCCACATGAGACTTAAGTCATTTTTATAAATGGTTACTTTCATAAAAACTCTTTAAGTTGTTTTTCCATAGGCTTTATGTTCTTGGACGGCCCATATGGATTATTGCCTTTCCAGATCATCATTCAAAAGTCTAAAATGATTAGTATGTGTTATAAGAAACATTTTAAGAAAGTATTGGTCTTTTTGGAAAGATTGGAAAAAGTGTAGGGTAAGTACAACTGGGGCCATTGGCATGGATCTAAGAATGAAGGGTTGAGAATAAAGCCTCTCATACCCCACTAATCTCCTAAGAACTGGCAACTTCATCTCTTCTAAACCCTAACCTAGTGTAATACAAAGGCCTTATCCTATTTTCCCAAGATATTCAACTATGTAGAGAGAAGCAGCTAGGCTGGGATGTGTGTAAGAGAGAGGTAAGATTTGTTTTTTTTACTCTCTCTTTTCCCTGGCCCTTTCTATTTTCTAAAGAAGTTTGCTGAAATTCTTGTGTGCCTGTCCAAGGAGATCTAGTGGGGTATGCGAAGTCCTAGGCGGTTATCGTTGACAATACTAACAGTTTATGTTTTATTTGGAGCTTATCATTCTATTCTTCAAGATCTCCACTTCTTTATCCCCATTGTTCTGTTTACTTCTGAGTTTTAAGTTCAGTATTTGATGGAAATTTATGTCTTGAGTTTATGTTAAGTTGAGAATGTGGTGGTAACCTTGTCATGTGTTTATGTTAAGTTGAAATTTATGTCTTGAGTTTCTGCCTTACATTCTGGTGTTTAAATGTAAACTGCAGTGCATGTTTTTGTGCGAATCTAGGTATTTTTAATAGATATCTAAGGAAATTTTTGAATACGTACTTAGGTCGCTCCACAAACTTTTTGAAATATCGAGCCTTTGAAATAGTTACGTGCCACCCATCTGTACCATTGGGTAGCAACAGACTTTACCCTTCGATTCTGGTTTGATAATGCTAAAAAATAAATCGATAAAAAAAAAATGATGATGCAAAAGGAAAAAAAACCTGCATATACACTGCACAGTCAGCTAATAGATTGACATTCCAAAGTAACTCAAAATCTACATGACCACATCTATTGATTATCAGAACTTAATTTCGGTGTAATATTTATTCTCTTCTGGGATTTTGATATTTATCTTTATTGGTATTTAGTTTAATCCTTCTTCTTTAGCATCATGAAGTCCAAATGCAGGTTACCTGAATCCTGAACAACAATGATGAGTTCGTTCTATGTTGGATGGAGAAACCTATGCGTCGTTACTTTGCGAATGGGCAGATCCATTGTCCATGAATAAATTTTTTGAATTTAAAAAATATATTTCATGTGTCCTCCAAGCATGTTTACTGCCATTTTTCTTGAAAATTGATATTTTTTTGGGGATATAACAGAGATATTAATTTGGGGCCTGCATGTTTTCTTTTCCTATCCTGAAAACAACCTAACATCAACACATTAAGCTTTGGTTTTAACTTCGCAGGATGATGGCCACATTTTCTGCCTACCTGATCAGATCAAAGATGAAATCAAAGGCGTATTAGATCTAACTGAAGAGATATTAATGCAATTTGGTTTCAATAAGTATGAAGTCAACCTCTCCACCAGACCAGAAAAAGCAGTAGGGAGCAATGATATATGGGAAGAAGCAACTACTGCTCTAAAAGATGCATTGGATGATAAGGGTTGGGACTATCAAATTGATGAAGGTGGAGGTGCATTTTATGGTCCAAAAATTGATCTAAAAATCGAAGATGCTCTTGGGAGAAAATGGCAATGTACCACTGTACAGGCATGTTCTATTTTCCTTTTTGTTGATAACATTCAACCTGATCAAGTGTGGTGTAGTTGGTTCCCCTTATTTTTACTGAAAATTTGTTGTTCTTTATTCTTGTTTAATTTTTTTGGACCAGCCATTTTATCATCAAGAAATTTGTTTTGACCTGCGCTTGCATATTGACTCTAGGCTATAGTTGAGTTCTCTGCTTGCTTGGGGACCATGGCAAAGTCTGAAACAAAGTGTTACATTATTAGGACTAGTTGTTATATAAACTTTTCTTGTGTATTTGTGATATTTCCTTATTCATTAAGTTTTTGTGTAGTTGACTTTTAAAACTCTCTGGATCTTATTTCCAGGTTGATTTTAATTTACCTCAGCGATTTGACTTATATTATGTTGACTCAAACACGGAGAGGCGGCGTCCGATCATGATCCACAGGGCACTCCTGGGATCTATGGAGAGGTTTTTTGGGATCCTTATTGAAAACTATGCCGGGGATTTCCCATTATGGCTTTCACCTATCCAAGCTCGTATATTACCCGTTACTGACTCACAGGTATCCTCTCTCTCTTTCTCAAACATAGACATATACACATACATACTGGCATTTAGTTCATCATCATTATCATCATGCATGTGTATATAATTCATGATAGGGATGTGGCAAAAGTTTTCTGCTGGCTTCCAACCTAACACAACCCTCCTTTCTCATCTGGGCTTGGTACTGGCAATTGCGGAGTTATATGCTGGCATTCAGTTATTGACTCTTTATTTAGCTTGTGTATACTTATGTTTTGATAACTTGTGATATACTCTCTTAATTTTTAATTGAGCTACAAAATGCATGGCTTCCACAGTTTATGAGAATGTCTCTTTTTATTTGAGATGGGATGAAGAGAAGCCCTGTAGCAGCTGATGTTTTCCCTTGGCAGTTGAATATCTGTCTGGTTATGGAAGTGAAGTTTGCAGCCTAGGATCTACTAAGTAGCAATGCACAAGAAAAAATGAAAATGAAAAAGTGTTTTTTGTAGTCTAATTGGCTTTCTTGAACTTGGTTTCTAGTACTCTCGTTTTCAGAGTCTGTAAAAATGTTGCATTTAAACATTACACTAATTAACCAGAGTACCAAGAGAAACTGTGAAAAGAACATAGCGTGAAATAAATATCAAAAATGACATTTTAAGAGGGTTACTAATAATCACTGAATGTGTACCTCTAGTGAGTTTATTGCTGATAATTGCGCTTATTTTGGCAGTTTCTTACACCAATTAAGTGGCATCTTTTCTCTTTTATTATTTTACTTTTCCAAATGCATCCATCTCCATATGAGAAGTTTGTAACTTCCTAAAAACCAATAGAGTAGAATAATTTATTCATACATTCAATTCTTATTCTTCTTATAAGTTTTTGCATCCCTTTTTAGGTAACTTTGAGACTTCCTTGTCTATTGATCAGTATATTTTTAAGAAAAACATGGACATTTTCTGGCCTGATTTTTTTCCTATTTCAAGGAATTTACAGTCTCAGATTGTGTATCTGCAGATTGGGTATTCCAAAGAGATGTTGGCAAGACTCAAGGCAGAAGGCATCAGAACCGAACTCTGCCATGGCGAGCGCCTTCCAAAACTCATAAGAAATGCTGAGAAGCAGAAAATACCATTAATGGCAGTGGTTGGGCCGAAAGAAATGGAGAACCAAACCCTAACTATTCGTTCTCGGCAAAGTGGGGAGCTTGGTTCAATGAGCATTGAAGATTTCATAAACAAAATTCGATTATGTCAAGCCCAAAGAACATCATTGTAGCAATTAAACAGCAATCGATCCTGTAAGTTCTAGCAATTTATTTGTAATTTATACAGTTTAAAAAAAAAAATGTAATTTATAAAAGAATATTGCTTGGGCATATAACAAGAAAGCATTAAATATTTACCCAAAAAAAAAAATTATATTATTTGATTTGTGACCTCCAAAAGCGCAATTCTATTATGAAGTTATAGTTTGGCATTGAAAAAGCATTGGAAACCATAGAGATTGATATAGTATTGCACCACAATAATGTGCATAAGTGACGGGATTTCTTGTTAATCTTATAGTGTGATCTTTATTAGCATGCACCACTAATTGTTGACACTAAGGGGCCGTTTGGGTAATTGGAAATCTATTACATGACAAGCGATTACAAAGTAAAGGGCCGTTTGGGTAACTGAAAATGTATTACATGATAATCGATTATGAGGAAATATGACATTTCCATTGTTATTAAGGGCCGTTTGGGTAACTGAAAATCTATTACATGATAATCGATTATGAGGAAATATGACTTTTCCATTGTTATCAAGGAAAAGAAAAAGGAAATGGAAATAGATTATTGAGATTTCCTCAAAAATCATGAAATATATTACGGGCGGTGAAAAGTGCAAAATCTATTATGCGCTTGACAGGTAATCTTTAGAAATACATTACGGGCGGTGAAAGGTGCAAAATCTATTATGCGTTTGACGGGTAATCTTTAGAATTCTTTCGTGTGCATCTTATCCCAGCTTAATAAAATGCCAATCTGCCAGTTTAATAAAAATGACGTCTATTATGTGCTTGACAGGTAATATTTATAAATACATTACGGGCGGTGAAAGGTGCAAAATCTATTATGCGCTTTACGGGTAATCTTTATAAATCTTTCGTGTGCATCCTATCCCAGCTTAATAAATGTCAACTTAATAAAATGACGGCCCGCTTACTTGGTTTGCAGAAGTGATTTGATATCTAATAACTGGTTTGCAGAAGTGATTTGATCTCTAATAATTGGTTTGCATCCTCTCTCTTTAAGCCCGTTCTTCTCATCTTTAAGCCTCTCCTTCTCATCTATGCTGCTCTCTCTCTTTAAGTCTTTTTTTATCATCTGCACTTTTTTTTTTTTTATCTTTATGTCCCTTCCTCTTGATTTTATTTTATTTTTTTTAAGCGTTTTTACTTTCTCACCTAGAATTTTTCCACTCTCTTCTTCTTCTTCTTAGTATATCCATTCTTTTTAGCATATCTAATTAATGAGAAATTACACAACATAATTATAATAAAATTTTTTACCCAACATAAGAAATTACACCACAATTAGAATAAAGAATTTTACCCAATATAATCCTTATAAGAGATTAGTAAGAGCTCAATTGATAAAAGATACATCTTTAGTTTCCTCCAATACCTCAAAATTTCCTATTGCAATTATCAAACCTTCTAGTTTACTAATCAAATTTTTTTTCATTTTTTAATTTGTACCATAAAGATTTTTAATTTGGTATCATAAATTTATTGCTTATTTGAAATTATATAGATAGACATTTGAAAGACTTCTATATAAAATAAATAAAAATAAGGCTTATCACAATAAAAACATGTTATTCCAATCATATTTTATTTCAATCATATTATTCCAATGATTTATCATGTTGAAACCAAAGTCTAATTATTTACCACAGATATGTAAAATAAGTAAAAATTTGTATGATGATGACTTTAGAATGATACAAGTTATTATTAGAAAATCTTTTTGGAACGGTGATGATGTTATTATTAGAAAATCTTATTGGAATGATGTGAGATGATGACTTTAATTCCACATTTCAATAGAATTTTGTGACAAAAAAAAAGTAAGAAATGGTAGTTTATAGGCAAGTGGGGGTAAAATGTTGGTAATGCATTTTCATATTTCTTCCAGACATAGCCAAACAATAGTCATATATTTCTCAGGTTGCATGAAAATACTATCCAAACAGTAAATATCAATTTGCAGGTAATGTATTACGCCAGTAATATATTTCATAAACAATGTATTTCCGGGTATCTAAACAGCCCCTAAATGTTGTTTCTGCATTTTCATGGATAGCTTTGTAGGTTGAGAATATATTTTCTCTTGAAAGGTACAGATTGCACAGAAGCCATGGACTTTTCATGTGACTTCAGAGCATTACATGTATTAATTCCTCAGCACCCCCACTACCTAATGAAAGCCTGCATCTTTTAACCGATAATTTCAGTTCAACCCCTGAAAAAGTAAAAAATAATGCCCATGGGGAACTATTTTATATGAAATAGTAAAGCATTTGATTTCCAAAATGGTTGCTGCATTTAAGAATGTTCTAACCATAGGGTATGTATTTGCAAATTCTGAAGTTAATTTATCAATAAAAGCATAATGTGGGGTGTGTGTGTGTGGGGAGGTAAAATAATATTCTGGTGATGGGCTTTGCTGATCAATGTCTATAATCAGTGGTATAGTTACTAAATGGGAAAAAACACGGTATAGTTACTACTAAAAAAGCCATATACTATATTAGAAGTGCATCTTAAGAAATATAGGCAATGTGCATATTCATAATAGGAGTAAATTTTTTCTTTATAGCTAGCCCATCCTAAGAGGTCAAAATAAGATAAATAAGAGATGCCACTGATGATAAAAGAAAATGACAGAGAATAATTGGAATTGCAAATTTAAGCTATTGAACTATTAGTACCTTCATGAAGCTGACACTGATTAAATGCCATGGAACCTTGTGTTTGACTTGCTGGAGTATTGACCATGTAAATTGCCAATTAATCTCAAGAATTGCTAAGAGTTATATTCCCTTCCTTAGTGGTAGCCATGGAAGTGAGCTGACCTATGTTGTCAATGACTCTTGGCAAATTGAAATCATTTTGTAGGTCACTAGAGGTAGGCCCCTTTGTCCACTTGATACTGTTTTATCATGCATTTGTTGCCTGTGCTACAACCCATGGATTTAGATAGATGAAAAGTGGTGCTTTTGGTTCTGGAGGACCATACAAATGTGTCCCATGTGTCCATTTATAATTTACAACTGAAGAATTGCAGAAAAATCACCAAGCAATTCATTTGAAAAAGTTAAAAGGGTGGGGTTTAGATGTGCCCTGGGATGCACCTATTACCAACACGGACTTTTTGGATTGAAAATTTTATAGTTATGATAATGAATTACGAAAGAAAAAAAAAATTTCTATGAGATATTCAGAGACTGTAATCCGTGCTGTATTTAGAGCTCCAAATTTGAAAATCAGATTTTTGGAATTTGGGATGTATTATGGGTCCTAAATCTCTTGAAAACGAGCGTGGATGCATGAATTGCTTGAAAACCTTTTCCATGGTAAAATGTAAGCCAAGTTAGTTTTTTTCTTGGTAGTTTAGTAGTAGTAATTGAATTTGAGATGTAGCATTGCTAAACGTTAGCTGTAACCACTCAAGCCCATGCCCAATTCCTGTAAGTCATGTTAATTACATTTAAATTTTAAATTAACCAGGTTTCATACAATTTGAAAAAATAAACAAGCACCATATACTCTCATCATCGAAATCTTATCCTAACTATTTGGGGTTGGCAAATTTCTGGACGAGGCACTCAATTTATCCACTTTCAAAAATAGGTAGGTTAGGATGCGTTTGTGGGGACCACTAAATGGAAATTCTACCATATTTGGCGCTGCCTGTGTGGGGGTATTTCCACGACTCTATTGCCTTCATCCCAATTGGAACCCAACTTTTATGGAAAATGGAGCAAGATTATTATTAAAAGGGTGTGGTTTCTATAAGGTTGCAACCTTCAACAATCCAATTAAGGCTCACATTCAAATTTTATCATAACATGTAATTTTGGTGTAAATGTTTTTTAGGATTATCTAAAAATCTATTTTTATATCTAATTTTAAAATTTTAGACTCCAAAATGGTTAAAATCAAGTAGAACTATAAACATATGAGAATCTTAAAAATAGACGGTCTAGGTGATGTGTTGCAACATGCACTATTTTTAAGACTCAATTTTATTTTTTTTTTTCATACTCATACATCTCGATGTGGAGATGATCAATTAGAAGGTCTTTCAACATTAAAACAATGTTTTCCGATGAACTTTTAAGATGCATGTAAATTCTACATTTTAAGGTTGTAAACTTTTTCGTTACTAAGGGAAAAGTCACAAAAATATCAAGCAGAAGACTTGGTTATACTTTCTACTTTTTAGCTACTGCCGGGAACTTCGTTAGAAAACTTTGAAGCTGGATGGTTTCACTGTTTAAAGCATGAGGCAAAAAAGCCCCAAAATGCATTAAAAAAAAAAGAAAAGAAAAAGACTGTTTGGGTTGTCTCAGTTTTTAATGGTAATGCACCTGTTTGGTGAAGCCAATATAGCTATGTAAAGAAGTACCTAATTCTTTAGCCTTTCTATAAGGCATCCACCTTAAACAATCAAAGTAAGGCGTGCCTTCTAATTTGGCGTTAGAAAACTTAGAGATACTCTAAAAATTTGTTTAGTCATTAATTGTGAAATTTAAAGCGTTAAAAACAGTGCAGATCAAGTAGATTTATGAATATTTGAAGATCTTAAAAATACATTATGGATAAACGTTATAAGATGCACTATTTTCAAGACTTGAATTCAAATATTTCTCATGTCCATGGATATTGAGCTCAAGATGATCATTTGTAGGGTTTTACATTGTCGGAACAATTTGTTTTGGATGGGTTTTTGAGGTATGCTTTTGTAACAATCCTAAAATTTCAAAAAAAAAAAAAGGAGTAAAGATGCTTTTAAATAGGTGATGGTCTGTTTGAGTATGATGGTCTTTGGGAACCATCACTATTTTCAAAAACTTTTACTTGGTTTAAAACTTTTGCTGCTGCTTTTGTTTGCAGCCTTTGCAGTTGCTGCTTGCAGCTGGCAACGTCCTTTAGCGGACGTGGTTTTCGTATGTTGAAAGTAGACGCTTAACGCGACACCTCAGGTATGAGGTAGAGCGTAATAAAATATTATAATAATACGTTATAAGAATTTAAATAGGGGATGTGAGCACTCCCACCCTAGAAAATTTTGAGATCTCTCTCTCTCTCTGGTCGAAACACAGTGAACTCCTCTCTCGAACCGAATTTTTTTATCGGAAGCTCCTTCTCAAACAAT